CTACAACCCAATTCACAGTTTGTACATCAAGATCTGGAAAGTAGTCAGAAAACCGCTCTCTGAGTTTGGTAAGAGGAAATTAGAAAATTTTCCCTATTACCCAAAAAAAAATCATTTTTACCCCCTTTTGGGTAATTTACCCTGGTTCCCCGACCGCTGGCCTATGGTAACTGGTGGACAAGTTACGTTACGTTACGTTGCGTTACGTGCACCGACTTAGTTTCATTAGCCCTGATTCTCCACTTTCTGAACCAATCGATCAAATTAAAGTTTGAGAATAACGGCAACAATGTTAGTAATTGTTTTTCTGTACAACTACAAACGAATTTGTAAAATATATTCATTCTATTCAGAACATGTTATATTTTTTCAAGTAAAAAATTTGAAATTATTTTATGTTGCAAATATTCTATTCTATTCACTAAAGTTTTATAGTCCTTTGAAGAGAAGAACACTGAAAAACATGTCGTCCAGAAAGTTACCGAGAAAGTAAGTAAAACATCTTTTACATTGATGATATTCAATGAAATCCTGAATATATGAAAATTACCATTAACCATTTTTACTACTTTCTAAAATAACGGCTCATATCTTTGATAATTAAATAATGAGAGATAATGTTTATAAAACGTACACAAAAAAAAGTATCTGCAATATTTACGTTAAGTTACTTAAATTAATTATTTTAATTCACTGTTAATTTTGTCGTTTTAACGAAATCTTAGTGAAAAGTTGAATTTGTCTAATTGTAGACAATTAATTTGCAAAATCAATATCAAATTGGAAAATTGGCCTTTTTGATGAGAATTTATCATCAAATTTATCGTTTTCTTTTTATTTTAGAGATAAACTCAGTGTGGAAGGTTTGAGACCATCAACTTCACGTGGATCGAACTCGTTGCAGAGCTCTTTCGTGAGGAAAAAGTCACCAAATAGACTAAGAAAGGTAGCACCATCAGCAGACAAAGAATGGCAGAAGACCACCCTGACTAAGATTAGGAAATATTTGGAACAGTTTGATCCCGACATCAAGCTGATTCCACTATCCACACAAATGTTTATTTACACAACCAATCTGCTTCTTAGAACCAACGTCGATCCTAAAATCGAATTGACGAAAGGTAATTATCAAGAAGAGTTACCTTTCTACTTGAACATTTTGGAATATCCATACACGTTATCCACTTCCATCTTGAAGCATCCCAGCGTGCCGCATTCGTTGCCAGCAATTTTAGCCATGTGGCTTTACCTATTGGATCTGGAATCCAATGATGATGTGAAGCCAGTTTTTGATAAATGCCCTCAAGCAAAAGTAAGTTCATCTCAGAATGGTTTTGATTGATGATTTTAATGTTTGAATTAGGTATATCTGGATTTTTGCATTAATTCAATGACTGATCCAGATTTACAAATTGAATCTGTAAATGATGAATTGAGTAAGTAAACTTTTGTTATACAAAAACTATAATCATTATCAAATTATTATTTCTTTGTAGATCAAATATATGGAATAAATGAAGATCAGATTTCTATAACAATGAATGAAATACAAAGATTGAAGAAGGAGAATGAAGTGAAACAACTGCATAATGAAGGATTGTATGAAATGAAGAAGTCCATGGAGGTTGAAGAGTGCAAAATGCGAGATAAACTGTCGGAGCTTGAAAGCTTTACTTCTTGTTATGACGAAGTCTTTCAATCGCTCAAACAAACTGAGAATGATTTAGGTTTATTGAATGATTTTATTAATACTATGCACAGTCATATAATACTATAACTTTTTAGATGAAGATTTGAAGAATCTGAATGAGGTCAATAGTGAACTTAAAGATAAGCTTGAAGCAAATGGATTAAACGATTTGTCGGATCTTCGAACGAAAATTGCCCAGGATTTTAACACTTTGGGATTGTTACAAGAGAAACGCGACTACAATATGAATAAAATCACTAAATTGGATAAAGACAATATTGAAATTAAGCGAGAAGTAAATATTGATAACTTAGTTTATGCAAAATGTTAATTTTCAATTAATGAATAGGTGGAATCTTCAATCTTCAAAAGTAACAACTTTATACTAGATTTGGGTTTGGAGCCGGAGGAGGTCAACAAATTGATGGCTCCGACTACAGGTTTTGGAAGACCCGATGTTGTCGACGTAATTAATAGTCACGCAATTAAAATCTTCAATTTATATAATTTGTATAGTTTTAGGATTTTAAAAACATCTTGGGAAAATGGACTAAACTCATGCAACATTCTGAAACGGAACGAATCGAAATTGCTAAATTGGATGTGGAGATAAATCAGATGGAGTTGAAGCTTGCGATGCGTCAAAGTTATCTGAGATTGCTCGACGATAAAGAGTGCAAGATTCAAGAGAAGAGTAAACTTAAATTCGAGGTGATGCAAGAGAAGATTTTGGCTGCGGTTAACGAGTACGAAGGCATACAGAAAAGCATGGAGGAAATTAGTCTTTACAAAAATAACGTAGAAAAAGTTAAATTAAAGTAAATTACTACGATTACGTATCAAATTTATATTATTAGTTGTTATTTTGTAGATATAAAGAATTAGTTAAAAAGAACAAACAGCGTGTGGAAGAATGCCAAGAACATTACAATGAATATTCCGAAATGATATTAGATAATATAAAGGAAATGAGTGTAAGTTATCAAAACAGTGATTCTCAAAGTGTGTATCATTTTTTTCTACATATACTCATTCTTCTGGGGGTCGAAGAAACTTTTTATGTCGAAAAAGGTGTGATTTTGAGAATCACTGCACTATATCACAAAGTAGTTAATTCAATTGATAATTTATATTGCAGGACGTCATAAAGAGTTACACGAAACGAATCCAAGGAGATATTGATAAGGCTTTAAAAGAATTTCAAGTGTTAACAGAGTTTTATAAAAACACAAAACTTTGAGAATCAAATTCGTAAATTTAAAATGTAAATTTTTAAATGTATTTGTTAAAAATAAATATAGAAATACCTATTTCTTCTGGACAAACATGATACAACAGTCCGAGCAGAAGAGGAATAACCAGTTGAATCGTAATCTTTAACTACTCGCGCGGTGTGTTATATACACTACATGTCTTACTGCCAGACAAAGTGCATAAATGATTGTATTACGACAAAAAGACATTGCCCTCTATATATTCGTTAGTAGAGGTATCAGCATTATTTTCTGTTAGACCAACACTGCAAAGCAAGAACGAATCTACACAAAAACAACTTATTTGTAAACACTTTGGGCATAAGTTACTTTAAGTGTGATAAATGGGGAAAATATCATTTCTTAGAATATTGGTATACTTTTTACACCGGCGCGAGTAGTTAATGGTTAAAGTTGTCGTGGCCGACCAATTTATTGTCATCTATTGTATAACTAATATGTATATTTGTTAGAGCCATGACTTTCCTCTTAATTATTACAAATCATATTTAATGTATACATCAAATATACAAACGGATACTTGTACGTGATTATTTAGAATAACTTGTGGAATATTCCAAACGACGGTTACACATTAAATCGTATAGTTGCGTCTATTGCATCACCACTTAACAGCCTTTTGCAGCCCCTAAATATTTGGGCAGGATCATAAAACTTAGATAAAGAAACGCTTGTGTTTTCCACAAGGTAAAACCTTTTTCTCCCACGCAACCCCTTTTTGAAATGAACACATTTTCGTATTATATAATTTAATCTTAGTCAGGGGACCGAGGAGAGAAGAAGTCTTAGCTAAGGAGTCGAACTGAGAAGAAGTCCTACTTGGGAGAGTCCAAGGAAGAGCACTTACTTCATAAACACTAACGTAAGAGGAGAATGTAACTCTTAGTTAATAATCCATGAGATCAACTATTGTATAGTTGACTTCTCATAAAAACTCCGATGTTTATAATAAAGTTAATTAAGAATACACAATGACTTAATTGAATTCTTAATAAAAACTCTGATATGCACAATAAAACTAATTAAGCCTATTCAAAAACCCCTCTAAGTCTCCACAGATGACATAACTCCGATGTGTATAATAAAGTTAATTAAGAATATTGCATTTAATATTCATAAACCCCTCTAAGACTCCGCAACGACAATAACTATGAGATAATCCACGGTGTCCAAGGATTTCTTAACTCTGGGACACGACAAAGTCTTAAAGGTGCAAGAGAAGAGCAGAGCTTCGGATGAAGATCAAACTTCCTACTCACTTATTGTTATTAACAATGTTATTAACAATAACTGAGTAAACAAAATTAGTATTCTAATTATATTTTCAAATAATAAAATGTACTGTCGGGATTTCGATCCGCACCGTAGAAAAAGTTTTGGCGAGAGTGAGATAGAGAAAAACAAAGAACAGAATTGCCTGTAATCAAATGAAAGATAAAAAAAAACAGCTCGTCGTAGGTAGTTCCGACGTTATTTGACAAACACAGCACGGGCTTTAATGAAATTTCAGTTTCAGTTCTCCTTTGCAAAACGTGAACCGACCGAATGCGATATAATCAGTGCCAACAATATCGAAGCAAACACATAACAAACAAACAAACAAAAAATAATGGGAGAGATTGGGCGTGAGGAAATATCGCAACATTCATAAGCCCATATATATGCAAATCAGATTATAAAATAATTGTTTGCACGAGAGAGAGAGTGAGCGGGAATGCGTGGCTCGAGCAGGCAAACAACAAGTGGAGTAGTGGCCACAAACCTAAAAAAAAACCCTTTCGCTTTATATCAAAATACCCGCTCTTCCTGCCTGTGGTAGAAACACAAAAACAATATTTATATAATGGCTCGTATCCTCTTCTCTATAGCCAAGACACAGATATGTTAACACTCGCTATTTGATCAACTCCATCTAATTCCCTTGAAGTATATACATACAAAAGCTGAGGTCATTTACTACATCGATCCTGCATAATTTATTTTGTCCACTCCACGATGTTAAAACCTTTCGACTTCCGGTTATTGACTTCCGGGTAAAACGATGCCGCCTCTAATTAATTGAAAGCTTTTTTTTCTCCCTTCGTGAAGCGTGTAATTGAATCAGTTTCCTTTTCTTTCGTGACCCTACTTTTTTTTCTTCGCTTTCTCCTCTCCTTTTAATTATTCATTATTTTTTACGATCGTCATTATTACACAAACGTTTAACTTTCTACACCCCTTCCTTGCAGAATAACAAAAAAAAGTTCATCAACTGGAACAACAACAAAATACAACCCTTTTCCTTTCTGTTGCATGTATCTACTTTACATTAATTATGTAGAATCTTTGTGTATCAATTAATTTACAGCTAAAATAAATAAGAATTATTTCCCTCTCGCCAGTTTATTAATTACTAATAGAAGTAATAGAAATATAAAAATCTTCTGTATATAAATCTTATTAGAAATCCTAGAAATATTGGGTAAAGTAAAAAAGTTTTGACCGTTTTTCGTTAGACGACTTTAGTGAGCCATATCTCACGATGTATACGTTGCATCTTGTCATTTTATACTGCGACTTAAAGGCGACATAACGCTTTATAAAAAGTTCTTGGACAGTTTTGTGCTTAGTGAATCCAGTTGTGTGTTAGAGCGTTCCAAATTGGAGGTAAAAAAAGAGAAAATTCTATACATTCTTCAGTACCACTACGACCATGTGGAAAAGCGGAGCAGGCGGACAAAACATGTGTGTTGTTTATGGACCCAATTCAGAATCGATTGTAACAGCAAAGTGTTGGTTCCAATTCTTCCGTGATGGTAATATGGACATCAAGGATGAGACACGCACTCATCGAAAATGTTGATAAAATCATGGAAATCGTCGAGTCTGACCGGCATAAGAGTACTTATTCCATTGTCCAGGAACTGAAGATTAACCAGAAAATAGTTTTTAACCATTTGCATAAGGCTGGTCTCAAGAAGAAACTCGATGTATGGGACAAAACGCTCAGAACTTTTTACTTCACAAAATATATTAAAAAAATATACTCGTCACTCATTATGCGAAACGTGGCTCGTTAAGCGAGTCGTTTTTCTTACAATTTATTTTGCTCGTTAAGCGAAAATCCACTGTATTAAGAATTTACTAAACTTTAATAAAGCTATTCAATATCAAAGTTATAAAGTAGTTGTTTGAAAGCCGCCACAATAAGCACATTACAAGCTTAAAACTGAATCAGTCACGTATAGTTGTATAAATTTCGTTTGTTTCCGTCATCGCAGCCAACGCTTCCTCATTCCAAAAACAATGAATGTATAATCCTTTTGGAAACGACGCAGTGTCTTCAGCAATTCACAGAATCGGATTAATTCATTTCCTCTGCTAATAAAATGTAAACATCCTCGAAGCCGTCTTAATTAAGCCTCTCTGATACTAATAGAAAAGCTTTTATGTAATCTGCGCTTAATCAAATACAAATTCCTCCTCAAGTTTTCGCATTACCTTCATTTGCAGCTGCCTAATTTATTAAGCGTATTACTATATTTACGTATTAAAATTTCAGCAGATAACGAAATCCTAGGCTGCGCACTAGACCGATTTGTATTTTAGATGATTTCTTATTGTTAAGGTTTATTATAAATAAGTCTAATTCAAATAATCAAAGATACTGTCGGGATTTTGTTATTGTTGGAATTAAGTTTGTCGGGATTTTGATATAGATCCGCGCTAGACACATTTTGTAGCGTTACATCTATTTATAACAGTCTAAAATTTAGACTGTTATAAATAGATTCTAAATGGTTAATTAAACGAATATTTCGCACATAAAAGTCAACATCAATTAACGTTTCATCAATCATACCTAAGGGTGTGCAGCTGCGAGGATTAGACAACAGTAGATTATAGATATAACCACTTTATTTTGGTAGGCCAACAGTAAACAACATGAATTTAACATATAATAACATTGAATATTACCTACATAATGCCATTTTTTAACTGGTTTTTGTCCGTTTATTAAGTACCCGAATACTTTGTCACATAACCGTTTTCGTCACGCCAATATTTCAAAAACAATGAACGAAAAACAACAACAGGAAACAATGAATAAAAGTGGACAAAATAATGAAGAGCGGTGTCCCACGTGGAAAGTTTTGTTGCTGATGTTGTAGGAAGTTGTTTTTTAGGTGATTTCTTATTGTTAAGGTTTATTATGAATAAGTCTAATTCAAATAATCAAAGATACTGTCGGGATTTTGTTACTGTCGGAATTAAGGTTGTCGGGATTTTGATATAGATCCGCGCTAGACACATTTTGTAGCGTTACATCTATTTATAACAGTCTAAATGGTTAATTAAACGAATATTTCGCACATAAAAGTCAACATCAATTAGCTTTTCATCAATCATACCTAAGGGTGTGCAGCTGCGAGGATTAGGCAACAGTAGATTACAGATATAAAAACTATATTTTGGTAGGCCAACAGTAAACAACATTAATTTAACATATAATAACATTGATTATACATAAGGCCCTTTTTCAAACAGGACTGGTTTATGTCCGTTTATTAAGTACCCGAATAATTTGTTTATTTTCTTTGTTACATAACCGTTTTCGTCACGCCAATATTGGAAAAAATGAACGAAAAACAACAACAGGAAACTATGAATAAAAGTGGACAAAACAATGAAGAGCGGTGTCCCAAGTGGAAAGTTTTGTTGCTGATGTTGTAGGAAGTTGTTTTTTTAGGTGAAGGCACGCAAAATCAATGTATGAAACTTTCCAATTTTCCGAAGCTAAAAGCCCATTTCTTATTTACTTATGAGGCTGTTAATAGTTTGCTTTTGCGGATAAGCGAAATGGCTTAAAGTTATCAAAGAAAATGGACTTCGTGCGAAGAGGCCATTCCTCAAAGCGGTATATATTTTTTTTTCTTCTTTTTCATAGCTTTGCAATTCTCTAATCTGAACTTATAATTTATAACTT